CCTTCATCCTCACCCCCATTCCCATCCTCTTCACCCATCCCCATCACCCCACACCATTTCCTCCACACCATCCCCACTCCCCTCACCTCCATCCCCACTCCCACCCTCCTCCTCCTCATTCCCACCCCTTTTCCTGCCCTCCCTGCCTTTCCCAGCCCCTGACCTGTTGGAATGCTGGGCAGCCACCTCGTAGATGCTGACGTGGATGCTGCTGTTGCCGTGCCTGGGGACGACACCCCGGGATTTGTAAATCCGGAACTCGGCCGCCGTCACGGCCTCTCCCGCCGGCACCTGGGTCAGGTCGAACCTGAACTCCTTCCAGTAGGGCTTGGGGGACAAAAGGTCCCTGTCCTGCTCCACTGAGGACAAAAAAACCGCTCAAGAATGGCTGAACCAAGCCTAGAACATCCCCACTGAGCCCCACCGAGTGGATTTTGGGGATAAACCCGCTGGTTCTGAGCCGCTCGCCCTTGGTTGGAAGTTCCCATTTCTTCCCATCTCCTGAGGGTTTGGATCTGGATCAGCTTCCCCTATTTCTGCAATTTATTTTGATGTAAACCCACCAGCTTCCCCTCCAAGCCTTCTTCCTTTATTATTAATTAAAATGAAAATAAATTCAAATTAAAAGCGCAAATGCTGGCTATGGGAGGAGCACAGAGAATGTGACAGGCTTTGAGGGCTGCTTCACCAAAAGGGGAAAAACAAACTCAAAAATTTGAATGTTTGAGGGTCAGCAGGGCCATCTGGAGCAAAAATTGAGGTTTTCCAAACTTTTCTTGCAGCAGACAAACCCAGGGCTCATCAGGGCCATCACTGGATATCACAGGTCCACAAGTAAAGATTTGTCCATAAGTAAAAGTTTATCCACAAATAAAAATTGTTATCCTGTCTGTTTTTGGGAAGTTAGGGGGGATTATCAGGTCACTGCTCTGTAAAAAATCCCCTCCCTTTTTTCCTGAAAACGCCTCATTTCTCCATCACACTGGGACAGAAAAAAATCTGATTTTATTCCCTTAAAAAATAAACCTTCCTTTCTCTATGGTAATGCAGCCCCCGCAGTTTTGCTAATGTGCAATTATTTACTTCAAATTGTTCTTTAAAAATACCCCAATCTTCCTGGTCTGAGTGTAATTAAAGTTTATGATTAAATATGATTCAATGTGACTAAAGCTTCTCCTGCTTCAGGCACAAAAGCAATGTAACCTGGTGCTTACTTTTAAATCTAAAACAAATAATTAACTAAATTAAAAAAAATAAACATTTAAAATGCATTTTTTAACCAATTCCAGGGGTGATATATTCCAAATTTAATACACCATAAGCTTGCCATTCCCATATATATATATATAATATATATATATTAATATATATGTATACAGTTTATGATTAAATATGATTCAATGTGACTGAAGCTTCTCCTGCTTTGGGCACAAAAGCAACATAACCTGGTGCTTACTTTTAAAACTAAACCAAATAATTAATTAAATAAAAAAATGTATTTTAAACCAACTCCAGGGGGGAAATATTCCAAATTTAATCCACTATAAGCTTGCCATTCCCATATATATATTTAAATATGATTCAATAATAAACTTTATATATTTAAATAATGTGACTAAAGCTTCTCCTGCTTCAGGCATAAACGTAAACCTGGCGCTTACTTTTAAAACTAAAACTAAATTACAAAGTAAACATTTTAAATGCATTTTTTAATGCAATTCCAGGGGGGATGTATTCCAAATTTAATCCACCATAAGCTTGCCATTCCTAATATATAAAAA